TATATATATATATATATGTGTGTGTGTGTGTATATGTATAAGTTATGTGTAAGCAAAATACAAAAACAGAAATAAAAGATAGTAGAAATAAAATATTAGTTTACATTCTAACAATAAAAAAATAGGACATGGGCCATTTTTTAATTCACAGTTATTCATTATACGAAAATATTGAAGAATAAAGATATGTATGAAGATAAAAATGATTAAAAGTAATAAATTCGCAAGATTTTTGCAAATATAATACATTCTCTAATATAGTGTAACTAATATAAATTTCGATACTTACTCATTAATTTGATCTAATGCTTGGAACAGCTTTTGATAATTCCATGTATGGTTTATTTTTAATAGAGATGGTACATTTTCTATACGATACGTAAGATTGAACATTTCCTTTACGCAATTAATCATTATTTGTGGTTCCGAATCCACGGCAAGATTAGACTTTAAGCACCCCATTCGGTAATTCAATGCGATTAAACACATTGCTGTAAAATATACATAGAAAATAAGTTATTAATTATGATGACGTGAATTTAATATATAAACAAAATTTGTATTATTTTTTCAATGTTTTGCTTTTAAAGAGAATTATTAAAACATGGACGGTATAAATATCTCGCATTCATATACACATACTTACTTTCTACACTCCACTTGTATAACTCATTCATAAAGTCATCTGGCAATTCCAATGTTTTAGGATCTCGCAATGTCGACATTTTATCCACGAACTCACTAGTTATAGCGTGAATTTGTGTGGTGTGCGTTTTCACTGTATTTGGCCGCATCATGTGCGGACTGACTTTCGATCGAAAATCCTTCCATGATTCTCCCTGACTAAAAGCAGAAAAGTCATTTTTATTAACAGAAAAAAAATTGTATGTAACTCATAAGCTGACATCAGACAGTTTACTAGAAGATATTAGCAGAAAAAAGAAATAAAGAAAGAAGTATTTAGAAATAGAGATTTTGTTCGGTATGGATGAATTAAAAGCATGTATAGAAGTTTGATTACTTATATTCTTTTCAATGGTATTACTGACCTTGTTGTGAGACCATATTGTCCCTTGTAAATGTCTTTTCTGTTTTTGCGATAATTGTGTAAGGGCTCTAAGGCAATTCGTATTGGAATTTTGCCTTGCAGCTGATACATACTTTTACATAATTCTGGACAGAATAGGAAGATACTTGGTTGTTTCTTTAGACCGTCAAATTTAACGATATTGCCGTACTTATCATGCAGCATTCGCATAAGTGTCAGAGTATTCACATTATAGTATTCACCTGTATAATATATATAAATAATTTTGATTTATACGAATGAGTAAAATCAAGAAATAAGAAAACATATTTAAATGCTGAATACATTTGCTTCAAGATAAGATAACAGATCTAACAATAAGATTATATTAAATATGTCTTCTATTAAAAATAATTAAATATTAAAAAGTTTTAGATAAATTAAGAATTAATATACAAATTGGAAAATATAAATGAATAATAATATATGGACATATAAGAATATTAAAAAAGTTTAATAAATAAAAAGGATATATAAATAACATAAATAAACGGAGTTTTATTCGATCAAAGCAAATCTTAATGCCTAATAATATTTCTTTGTAAATTTATATATTCAAGACAGATAATCAGGTATAAACTGGAAAATGTATATAAATTCACGCAGAAATATTATTAGGTATTTAAATCCACTATGATCAAATAAGGTTTCTTTTTAAAAGTTTACATATAATAAATAATAAAAAATTTAAATATGTAAACTAACTCGAATCTATTTATTATCTGTTATGATTTTGTCATTATTTATCTAAGTCATTATGCGATTGAAGGGCATATTAAAGTAGAAACAATATACAATGATAAAAATAAAATATCGTATTGATGCTTAGCATTGTATATTTAATTTTTATATTGGCATATTAATTAATAACTAATCTGAAGATTCTTATTTATTACATTATATATTCGAAATTGCATATCAGTCAATCTTGCTTCAATTTTAGATACGAATTTGAATTTGAATAACAACGATTAATGATTTCATTATAATAGGCATCAATAAAATAACTCACCTATGTAAGGCAGAAATCTGAATAAATTGCCAATCAAAGGTAATGCTTTTGGACCAGGAATATCCTCGGTCGGTCGTACGTGTTGCAAATTATTGCTCATGTCCACTATTTTATTATATCCTGTCGGATAATTTCTGATCGATCTTATGCGAGATTGCATTTTTAATGGCAAACACATTTCGCGAATAAAAACTCTGGTCCGCGTCATATTTAATCGGATTTCTTTTGATTTTCTACAACATATCAATATCTACTTGTTCGATAACACTGAAAGTTTTATCATTGGTTCATTATGATTAAAGCCCGGTCCCACCAATATAAGACTAACTTTAATCTCAGTTTAATTTGCTGTTTACTTTTTCTAATTCTCATAATCAGAAAAAGATAAGAAGTAAATTGAAGCGAGATAAAAATTAATCTAAGTATAGCGTTGGCATTTTTATGGCAATGTACATATCATTCAAGAAATGTATATTTGGGATATCTGTTTAAATTAACAGAAAAACCACAAATTTGAGACACAAATAATTATTAAATATCATTTCTGTTACATATTGTTATATGCATTACGCTTTTAATAAACGAAGGAATAAGATTTATATTTTGTTTCTGTATAAATATTAAAACATTAAAACATAAAAATTTCGTACTCAATTTTTTTTATCCCATATATGGAAATTTTTTTATTTTCAATAAAATAAAAGATAATTACGATATATATTACTAAATTTTACATGATTTATATTAATATATATTGATGCTAATAATGTGGAAAAACAATTTTAATTGAATATTTACTTAAAATGATATTCTTTCACAAACTGTTCAATTCTAAATAAGCACACATAGTATTGTAAATTTATGAGATAATTTTTATCAAAGTAATATACAAATGATATTAATAATAAAATATTATATAAGCATAAATTCGTAATATCATTCTTTAGAAAATTGTTGCATGTGCTCAGATTTAACAATCAATTCATGGAATATTCTAGAAAAGAAATACGTACCGTACTGGAGTATAAAATTATCTGCTCACTTGTACCGTACGTAGTGATAATGCACTATCAGAATTAAGAGCATGTATCTAACACTCGATGTAATACTATGTCAAAGAATTTAAAAATACGAAAAATTAAAAGAAATAGAATAATTTTAGTATATCTTTCAATTTTTTTTTTACAGATTTAATGATCGACAAACTTCCGATCGACAGTCTTCCAATCGACAAACGTTCTTTTCGATATTGAGATAACTTGCTCATTGCGTACGAAACAAAAGTCAAATTATATCTGAGGATTTGTTCTTGACCTTAATGATTTTAATACCCGGTTCTTAACAATGTCTCAAATATCACAATAAATTCGTAAACATTTAATAGGTCACAGAAATAAAATCGACAACTTATTTTTCTTTGTGTAAATACATTTTTGAAAATAGAAAATTCTCTATAATACAAGAAAAAAATCGACTTTTATATCGACTTCTATTACTTTTCCTTTGCTATAATAATTTTATTTGTGTGCATCATATTTTGTAATTTCTTTCGTAAAATTACTCAGTTACAATTTCAATCAACATATTAAGTTCATTAATATAAAAGTTTAATATTACTTTTATACGTTAACATAAAAAATTAAAGATAAAAAAGTTACCAAATCTTTTCAATTGAGTTTTGTTCAGTTTTAATTCTGATGACAATGTACTAAATTGCTTTGCTATTATGTTGTCATATAAGTAAATATATATATTGTGAATATATTGTGAATTTACTGTGTGTATGTGTGTGTGTATTTGTATGCATCATATATTGTACATATTACAGGAGAGAAATTTCTCAAAATATTGAGCTGTTTTACAGTATAAAATAAGTTTATTATAATCTTAATGCACCTACTTAATGTAGCTAACTTGTATTGTTATCTAATAGCTCTTGTGCTCGAAAACAGTCGCTTACAATTTTCCATTTATCGCCTATAGCCGTAATTAAAAAGGTTTGATTGAATGATTTTGAATTCTTCTCGTCATATTTTACTTGACCGCCGATCTTGACAAGAAATGTTAATTGGTTGGCTACCTCTGGACCTATTGTTAACATAGTACAGACACAACAATAGAAAATTTTTGTTTTCGCGTATTATTGAGATAAATATTTACATAATGAAATAAAGTATGTACAAGCATTAAAATAAGAGAAGTTATTTAGATGCGACTGGGAATTTATTTCTATCAAACATAAATTCTATCAAAATTTAAGTTGTAAAAATTAAGATACAATATATAATGTGCAATATTATTTAATATTTATAAACTTCTATTTGTTGTTTGATACATTTATAGGAAAAAATATAAATTTATTATAATTTATTTATTTAGTGCAGTTATTGAAGCTGTTACCTGTAATTGGTTGAGCATCAAGAGTATGAACGGTATGTTCTGAAGGTGGTAAATCTGTCCAGAATTTTTGTATAGTTTCTTTGCCTGTTACACCATTTCCATTCCATATCAGAGTAGCGGTATCCATATACATTCTTGAAATCAGCTAAAATTATATATTAATTATATTAATGTAACATAATCAAGATATAATATATTTAACAATATTATTATTACTTACATATCTCCGTTTGTCTAAAGATTCATAATATAATTTTGTGAAGTCTTCTGCAGTACGACAAGCATGGTCAATTTTAGCTTTCAAGTCCTAAATAAAAAGATGTAAAAATCAGGAACAAATATTCTAAGTATATAATTTAGCAGCATAATTAATCACTTTTATAACTTCTAATTTTAACAGAAGTAAAATCGCCAGAAAAATAATAGGAATTCAATGATTAGTATCCGAAATAATTCAGTCTTATAAATATGTTAAATGTATAGATGTTATTTATACACATTATATATATATAACACAAATTATTTTGCAATTAAAAAAAATTTATATTTATCTTTTTATTTAAGAATGTACAAAATAATATTAATCTTTATTTAATTATAAATCGAAACAATAAAGAAAACAATGAAAATTGAGATATAATGTTGGGGTGTTAAAAACACCTCGCGAGTAATTAAAAAAGTCTGGAAGGAATATAGGGTTAACTATACATTTTTATGAATTAGAAAGACATAATTATCAGCATATAAAACATATAGATTTAAACGTAATCAACAAATAAAATGTGTTATTCTGCAAAACAGATGCTTTAGTAGTAGAACAATTTCATTTAACAATGCACAAATTGTTTTTAAAATTGTATCATATATGAACATATTGATCGTAGTTTGTATATATGCTGTAATACCTGCTCCATTTTAATTATTACATATGCTCAAAATCATATAAACTTTTATATTTTTAATCTAATAATTTTTGCATCAAACGCATAAAATGCATAGAATGCAGAAACTTGACAACACTTGACAATAGGACAGTATGGGACAATAGAAGACATCCTAACCTTTTTTTTCCGACGAAATCTCCTGTACATACACTACCGCCATTATATCCATTTTATAAAAATGTGCATTACGTAGTACACCCATATTGCGACTTTGTCGATAAAATCATAGTACCGAAACCGAATACAGTGCGCGTCCGTACTATATCCACATATTCTCAATGGATAACTTGCTATATTTACTAGGTTGTAGTCTGTTCTATAAATCCTCGAAATATTTTCTCACAAGAAATCAAAAAAATTTAAACAAAATTTACTCTGAAACTGTTATGATCTTGAAATATTTAATACTTAGTAATTTTTTATAGGCATTTACTCAGGATTTCAGTTAAAAAGTAGAAAGACAAAAATTTTATATTTTCATCATACAATTTATTATTATCATACAATGTACTATAATAATTTATCGGTCCCGTATATGTGAACTGTTCATAATGAATAATTGATTCGCGTCGTTTAAGATTTAATGATCGATCATGAATGAAATCAAAACATTCGATACATATGATAAAGGGTGATTTTTAATCACATACATTAGTAAATACATAATATGTAACAAAAAATGTAAATTGTTAATTTTTCTTAAATAATTTAGTGTAACAGCATTTCTTATAAAACTTTTTTCCTCTGATAGAGATAATCGCTTTGAATCTGCATGTATGAACTGCATGACTAGAATATGTTAATTACTGAATAAATTTTAGTTCATTATATAATCATTGTCCCTCTTTCTCTCTTTTTCTCTTTCCCCGTCTTTCCCTCCTTCAATTTTAATTAATTCGCTTATTATTAATACAAAGTAATTATGTATTAATGAAATAATTTTTATTCACTAACATATATTTTATTTTGATGCAAAATGTAATATTAAAATAATTTTGCACGCATTAATATGTATATTTTATTTTTTTAGGTACTTGTTTAAAATATTGTTTAGAGTACTGTGTTTTTGTTGTATGTAATTAAGCGTCACCCTATGTATCCAAGAATGTCACGAGCGCAAAGAGATTTTTTCTCGTCTAGTATCTATATTGAAAAAAATCTCTTAGAAATGAGACACTTCCAATTATAAAAATAATCTACAGTTTTCAAAACTGTCGACGAGTAGTGATGGTGTTAATAAACATACTGTTCGAATTATTTCAAAAATATTATATAATTCTGCGAATATGGAAGAAATAATTAAGTTATAACAATCTTAACAACTATTAAAATCTTGAAGAATTTTGTCTTAATTTCACAACATTTTTCTTTAAATGTTTTAAAAATAAACAACAATATTTAAAATTCTGAATATAATATTTTAAATTAATTCTAATAAAACACTGATTATATAGTTTTTTATAACTTAATCTAAACTTTAAAAAAATAATATATATTCTATATGGAATGCTATAAAGTACTTCTGTTTCACGAGAGGTTTTAATTGTTCATGGCTTTCAAAGTTTTCAAAAATTTCAAAAATTGCATTGTTAAGATTATCATTTTTTGAACAAAAACAAGTTTTTTAAAGTCTTGAAGGGGGGGATCTGAGATTTCAAATGATGCCTAAAACGATAAGAAACGTCACAATGACGGAATCGCTCAAGATAATGGAAATCAAGTACACATCACTACTAAAGCAAGTAGAATTTCGCAATGTTTGCTCTTAGACGAAATAGACGACAGTCAATCTCTACTTCCAACACATAAGTAACTTCCTGGCTTATAAAGCGCGCATCAAAAATTAAAATTTAAAAAAAAACCAGGAAAAACTATATATTACAAGGCTATGCTTCAAATTTACTACCAGCGTTGAAAATGCTATGTGCACTATAGATTTTCAATACAGGCAATCAATTTTGAAACATAGTAGTCACAGTCACGCAGATCTGTCGCGCATCACGTTTATTCGTTCATTCACTCGTTTACACGCATATGATCAGCCGCTTCCTTCTCGTGTGTTATCTCCGGTCGCTACGACCGCCGTTCCTGTAGCCGCCGCGTCCGCGCGAGTTGCTCTTTGTCGTCGGCGCCGACTTCGTCGTCGAGTCCGACGAGGAGTATCGAACCGAGGTACCTGACCCGCTGCCACTGCCGCCGCTGCCTCCACCGCTGCTGGTGGTGTTGCCGCCGTTGCCGCTGCCTCCACTGCCGCCGTTTCCGCTCTTTGCGGTCGTCGAACTTGCCGCGGATCCGCTACCAGCAGTTGTTGTGTTACTTTGACTTGCCTACCACAAATTGCACGTATTTTACTTCATTCATACACTGGGTGTTTGGTGTTATTGAGATGGCGAGATACTCAAGTTATATTAATCTTTTCCTATGTTCTATAAATTAGACTCGATATAATACATTAAACCTAATTTACATGATACTTTTTTTTATTAATTAGTGTGTTAGTCTTTTAGTAAATAAGAAAAATAGTTAAAAGAAATATAATTTGTAAAATAAATGTTTTAAACTAAATAAAATAAATAACTAAAAGTTTTAAATAACTAAAAAATTTTATTATTTGGTAAAATTATAATAAGGATTCGTTATTTTCATATCAAATTAGCTCAAGATATGTCAGCACTTTCATATAGTAATTTACAATTGACAAAGGCGAGGAATACAGAGCGATCCCTCTCGATATTGCATTTAAGAACGCAGTTTCGCATACTATTTTTGTCGTTGTATTTTTAACAGACAAATGTACATATCTGGAAAATAATAGTTCACGTTTTTAATTTACGTATTAAAGCTATTTATCTACAATAGACAACGACATTAAGTGCAAAGTTTAAAATGTCTTAAAATGATTAAACAAAAGCGCTAAGAATAAGCGATCCCTATTCATGGCGCTATCCTTTAATTTATGCTTTACACTTGATGTTGCTATTCAAATACATATCTAAATAGCTTTTGATATACATAAAATAGGAACGTTAAATGTTAATGCCCAGCATTAAAATTGCTTGTTAAAAAAAATAGCTATAAAAACGCTGCGCAAAATAGCGTTCTTCATTCAATATAGGAGGGATCGCTCTACATCATCTTTCTCGTCACTGCAAAAATCATAAAATTATTATATAAAAACACTGACGTATCCCGAGTGTAATTTGATACAAGAACAACGAGAAGAACTCAACCGAAGGCGAAATAAATAATTACAAAAATTCGTGCCGCGCAGTGCCGCGCTGACTCGCCGACGGAATCGTCACGGGTGATGTTCTTAATGAGTTATGTACCAAAGGCTGCCGTCCTGGTTGACCCGAGATACTGTTGGCATTGCCGTTGTTGGTGATGCTGTTGTTGACGTTGCTACTGGGCGGGCCGGAGCCGCTCTGATCCCGATTAACAAGCTGCTGTACCAGCATTGGATTCGGCTCGCTCATGTTCACCTGCTCGTTGATTACCATACAAAACTCGCCAATCTTCTGGATGTCACCATTCTTCCCCGAATAAAGGGTCAGACATTGTCGCCAGACGGACGCGTAGCCCTTGGTGAGCCGTACTATATCACCCGGCATCAGGAGTTGTCCAGGTTCGTCCCAAATGGAGACGTTCATGCAAGCGGTGCTGTCAGCCACTTTGAACGTTCGAACTTCGCGGTTCTCTTTGGTTATGGTAGGGTGGCTAACCTCCAAAACGATAAACACTACGTTGATGTTCTTCTGCCCCGCGCGGATGTCCTTTATCTGCACGTATTCCATCGTAATCCTCCACAAAATCGCGCACAGAACAAATATATATACAGACATACACACTCTCTCTCTCACACACACACACACACACGCGCACACACACACACACACACACTCACACACGCCACGCGCGCGTATCGAAGGGCGGATCGAAAATAACGGAGTAATGTCCTTACGGGAGGTGTCACCGTTCGGGTCTTGCGACGTGATTTGACGTGCTTTCTTGCAACGTGAAACAGCACCGACGATGACTGGACGACACCGTGTCGTAGGGTAGGTCGAACCGCCCCTCTCCCCTCCGCAAAACCTTCAGTCTTTTCTCTCTCGCTTTTTCAACTGTACTGCTCGTGCTATCCAGAAAGATTTTTCTTGGTTCGAATCTATGCGCTTAAGATGTTCGATTCGAATTCGACGGAAGCATCAGACAAAGTGAAAGAGAGCCAGAGCCGTCATCGGGAACGATGCGCGCCGCGCGCTGCCATGTTGCGCGCGCCACCTAGAACGCCATCATGTGGCACAATTACGAACTACCGTTTCGGTTTGATGACAGCGACAATCGTCGATAGTAACATCATCTATCAAACGAGGGAGAAGTTTTATGCTTCAGTTGGTGGCCCTGGATGAAACGACGACGCCGCGTAGTTCGTGGCTTTTTTGCGTGATAGAAATCTTATCGTTCGGCAGTGAAATAAGATTTGCGAATGGATTCATGAATTCGTTGTACGACAGGTAGTTATCGTATAGTTAAGATTTCTATAATTATGTCGCGAATAATGCGGAGAGAAGCCAACCAAATGAACTCCGCGACGATAACGATGTTGACTCCGTAATCCCTAACCTTTGATCCTCGAATTAATTACCACTCATGAGATTTTAATCTGTTATTGTATTTATTTCATGTGTTAATCGTTTGAATATTTTAGATGAAATGCAAAACGAACATTATCGCTTAGAATTTGTTTTCTGTAAGGACAATTGTAATTTTGTGTCTTCGCATGATCGCATGACTGAGATTATCCGTTTATCCGTACGGCTATTTATGGGTGTTTTCCAATAAGAGATGCAGATTATTGTTTATCTTCTCTAATTGGATGGCCCTGTCTCCACATTCGAAGTTTGATATAGTCAACCACTTTTCTCTGCCTCTACTTTTTACTGTATAGCTATATAAAAGAGTAAATGGAATACAAATGCTTGAATTAAACTGGACCAGAAACTTTTAAAAATGATAGGTAATGCGATGCTCGAACTGAAGGAAAAACACATCTACCCTGGCCAAATCATTATACGAGACGTAAGAGACAGATGACAGGGTAATATAAGTTGTTTTTTTTTTAGGAGATACAGTTGACATTAATCATTTTTTCTTTGTTATTTATTGAATATAAGAAGTAGAATAATATTTAGAATAATATATCAACTGTATCGAATTATAAGTCTGTTTTATATAGCTGAACTAGTATATACTTTTGGAATTTAAACTGAAATACTTAGATGTTTTTCGATATTTGACAAAAGTAGGAAAAAAAATTCTACAGTTTAATATAAAAATAAAAATACTTTGTTATATCCTTGTCGTTTGTTAATATTAATCAAAGATAAATGATTCACTATATTACACTGTTATCATTGTTTCTGGCTGGAAAGCACCCTTTAATTAGATAACTCAATTACAATAACAGGAGATAAATTTTTAATTAGCTTCAATTATCATTAATTTTGTTAAAGCCAACACAATGAGTTATCATCGAGGAAGTGGTAATAAGCCGAAAGGCTTCGGCTTCAGTGGCTTCCAAATGTCTGGAACAAAAAGAAGTGGCACAAACATACCTCCACCTCCACCAAATTCTACTCTGAGCAAACAAGGCTATCACACGATGAATGCCATTACGGAAAATGCCTTGTCCGCATGTTGGGGCATGCCTAAAAAGCGCAGCAAGACCGAGGAAGAGTTAGTATTACAATTTCATATATAAACAACACATTTACAAACAAACAACTACAATTATAAGACTCTTTTATATAAGCTATTCTTGCTTTAGTTTTATACTAGATCTAAATGTATAAACCAATTATATTTAAAACAATTTTACAACAGTTGCAAAGCTGCTTTTTCTGCTAAACACAACTTCTTTTGAACGCAATGTTATAAAAAGATTATGTATATATTAAACATTATGATCCCTATTTAAATTCAGATACTTTGAAGACGATGACGAACCTCCAACTTCATCGTTGGAATATATACCCGCGCCTGGTTCTCCCACATACGACTTGATGAAGAAATCGGCAACGAAGGATGACAGCGATAGTGAGGAGGATACTTTGGATGCTTTTATGGCAGGTATTGATGCAGAAGTGAAGCGGAACACTTACGCGGCTCAGCGTGGTGATAATCGTAAAGAAGATAAATCTAAAGGATTTCGAGCAGATATTGATGGAGAAGACGATGAGGAAAGTTACTACAGGTATAAGTTTATTAGATATTATCAATCACACAAACTTAAAATGTTATATGATAAAATATACAATCCATCTTTTTGCTCCTTAAGGTATATGGAAGAAAATCCAACTGCTGGTTTGCAACAAGAAGAATCCGATCAAGAGATTGAATACGATGAAGACGGCAATCCCATTGCGCCACCGAAGAAGAAGGAGATCGATCCATTACCTGCAATTGATCATAGTGAAATAGAATATGAATCGTTCGAGAAGAACTTTTACAACGTGCATGAAGAAATTGCAAGTTTAAGCAAACAGCAAATCGATGATTTAAAAAAGACTCTGGGTATAAAAGTATCCGGACCGTCTCCGCCAAATCCGGTAACAAGTTTCGGTCATTTCGGTTTTGACGATGCTTTGATTAAAGCTATCCGTAAAAACTTAAGTGGCCGAGATATAATAGGTATAGCAAAAACTGGTAGTGGTAAAACTGCAGCATTTATCTGGCCGATGTTAGTGCACATTATGGATCAACGCGAATTGAAAGCTGGAGATGGTCCCATTGGTCTGATTTTGGCGCCAACGAGAGAATTGTCTCAACAGGTATTACAATCTCATTTTTTCTTATACGATAGAATGTTTAAAGAGTTTACCATGAATGTTTTTTTATTTTTATTTTTTTTATAGATTTATCAAGAAGCAAAGAAATTTGGAAAGGTTTACAATATTCAAGTATGTTGCTGCTATGGAGGTGGCAGCAAATGGGAACAGAGCAAAGCATTAGAAAGCGGTGCAGAGATTGTAGTCGCTACTCCTGGTAGAATGATCGATCTAGTTAAAATGAAAGCAACGAATTTAACTAGAGTTACATTTCTAGTTCTGGATGAAGCTGATAGAATGTTCGACATGGGGTTTGGTGAGTAATATACACGCATACTATAATATACACTGATAAGAGAACGCGGAGAGAGTATCAAATTTAATATTAAACAAAAATAATTTTGAAAATATAAATTTTTTAAATAATTATTTTTGAAACATATTAATGTAAATAAATTGATGTGAATAATATAACTTTATTATAAAATTTATTCTGTGTAGAATATTTTTTATATCTTAAATAGTTTTTGAGATTATTGAAAAACAAAGAGATTAATAAGAAAACTATTTTATTTATATTCACTTCTTAAAAGTTTGTTTTACACAATTGATATTTTCTCAATTCGTTTATTGTTTCATCTATATGTATACAAAGTTTTTTTATGTTTAAAATCAGAATTTGATACGTTCTCTTGTGAGAGACTATATCGATTACTATCAAATCTATTTTTCCAAATCTTATTTTCTTTTTTTATAGAACCACAAGTACGATCTATATGTAATCATGTGAGACCTGACAGACAAACATTACTATTTAGCGCAACATTCAAAAAGAAAGTGGAGAAGCTCGCTAGAGATGTTTTAACAGATCCCATTAGGATAGTACAAGGAGATGTTGGTGAAGCTAACACTGACGTAACGCAACATGTTATCATGTTCCATAACAATCCTAGTGGTAAATGGAACTGGTTGTTACAGAACTACATTGAATTTCTAAGTGCTGGCAGTCTTTTGATCTTTGTCACTAAGAAGGTGCGAAAACTAAGCACCCTATAACTATAATACAATGTGAAAGGGATGTGTAATCTAATATTTTTCCCCTACATCAGCTGAACGCGGAAGAACTTGCCAACAATCTCAAACTGAAAGAGTTTGAAGTATTGCTTTTGCATGGTGATATGGATCAGATTGAGAGAAATAAAGTGATTACGGCTTTTAAGAAGAAGGAAGTCAGTACCTTGGTCGCTACTGATGTAGCAGGTAATTAAACTATTAATTTTATATATATAAATATGAAATTCTCATTTTGTGAGACACTCACAAAATCTCATTTTTCTCACAAAATCTTACAATTCTCATTTTTCAGCGCGAGGCTTGGACATTCCACATATCAAGACTGTCGTAAATTACGACGTAGCACGAGATATCGACACACATACACACAGAATAGGAAGAACAGGACGAGCCGGTGAAAAAGGTACGGCATATACTCTTGTGACGGAAAAAGATAAGGAATTTGCTGGACATTTAGTGAGAAATTTGGAGGGAGCAAATCAGGAAGTGCCAAAGAGCTTGATAGATCTGGCTATGCAAAGCTCATGGTTCAGAAAATCAAGATTTAAAGGTGGGAAAGGAAAGAGTTTAAATGTTGGTGGAGCAGGACTTGGTTTCAGAGGCAGACCCAATTCGTCAAATTCGGTATATACCATAGCAATAATTTATATAATTGGTTATCTTCTAGAAAAATTGGAACAATAATTGTATTTTAGGGTGGATCGACATCACAGGCATCCAAGGATATCAGCGAGGTAGTTAAAAAATTGGAAAGACATGGACCTGGTAGCGACAGACTTTCCGCTATGAAAGCTGCTTTTCGAAGTCAATATAATTCCCAGGTGAGAAACATATAATTATTTTTATAAAATGTATCTTATGAAATTAAATTTAGAAATAGAAGTGTTTCTAATATAATTTTGATCTACTAGTTCCGAGCATCATCAGATCACACTTGGGAACAGACGATCACTCCACCTTCCGTGATAATGCCGCCTCCACCAACCGTTCCACCACCGAAACCTGCAACCGAAGATAATCAAGCTTCCAATTCCTCTGGACCGGAACGTAAAAGAGTGCGAAAAAGTCGATGGGAATGATCAAGTTAGTGTATTATTATTTGTGCATATTATATAGCAGGTATACGTTATATTATAATGAAACGATAATGAACTGACAAACTTGTTTTATATTACAATAAAATTTAATTTTACCAATTCGTATGAAAGAGCTATCGCTATTCCAAACTCATATCTGATATATCTAACCATCAATCCGATTGATCCGATCCCAGCTTATAACTCTATCAACGACATGTTACTCTTATTTTGCTGTAATTTTACGGAGGTCAAACAGCGTGCAGTTCCTGTATCGATCTGTAATCGCATCTTTGAAGGCGCGCGTAAGCAATTTGCTTAGAGTGAATCACTCTATAATTATCCCATAAGCAGCCGTGGCCGTGATCGTGTATCAGCAATCCTTTTAATTTTGTACCCCTAATTACGCCTTACAAAAGTGATTGTGGCTATCCTTCCGGTAATTATGCTAAAAAAACAGTGTTTATTTTTAATTTCAATTTATTAACAATTTACACATATATAGAAAATACGATACATACATTTTTATTGAAAAAAGAGATAATCCAATCTCTATATGTGTAATTTTAAAATTATCAAAGGTTTGGAACTTTTATAAAAAAACATTAAAGAAAATTTAAGAATATTTTATGAATATTAAAAAAACATAATGCATAACTGAGACGATATATGTCAGAATCTTGAAGTAACTACACTCTATTTTATCTATTATGCCTTTGTTTTTCTGAAAATATTCACTATCTTCATTGACATTACCCTCGTGTATGCGCGCGCGCAAGCCTGAATAAGGATAAGTGTTCCCTTAATATGGTGATTAAGCTAAAGGGTAACGCTCATCGATTATGTACTCGACAATCGAGTGGGATGTTAATGACAGTCGGTAGAATCGCTAACACGTGTCTCCACGTCATTAAACCACGTTGATACGCTTTGATCAGAGATGTCGGCGCGTGGTACTGCAGTGGAATTTCTAATGCCCGTGAATCGCCCAAGATCCGCATTCACGGTCATCTGCCAAGGTCGCAAGAGCATTATCTCTCTTTTACCTTGTTCGATTCCGCGCTACTGCATCGTGTCGATTCTAGTCGAATTCGCTATTCCTTCAAGAAACATTAGTGAATATATTTATGATTTCAGGTTTCTTATCCAAATTATATTGCAGCATTTATTTTTAAATGATCTAAAGATTAAGATTCTTAAGGATTTATATATTGCGGCATTGCAGGGCTACTCTTTCTTCTAGTCTTTTCCGTCTGTTGCATGTGGATCGTTGAACCCAACGACTTCTTCGCGGCGTCTATATTTTTGCCACTAAACTTTTCCATAGCCCTAGTATAAGAGCCGGTACAGATTCGCCCCCAGACTTTCCGGTCTTCCGAGCATTGCCTATTTCTTCCTTCGCTACATGTTCGTTGGATATCGCTCTTCTTTGTGACTCTACAAATATCCTCCTTCTCCAGAGACGTGCTGGAGCCCGTAGCGACTTGGACGTCTTCCCATGATATATTTACGTCAGATTGCACGCTTGATGGTGTTGGGCAACTGCTGTCACTGGACAAGGAGGAGGATCGAATGAAAGATGGTGGTACTATCAGCTTCATTTGCTCCTCCGATTGATTGTCATTCGAGAGTGGTTCACTTTTTGCGCGAGAATTCTTGCAACCGCCAAGACTATTATCTTGATTGTCATGGATAAGATTGTCATTTAAAATAATTTTTGCAATCGATGTCCTTTTCCTCAGATTTTCCAGATTTTCTTTGGAGGTACTCTGGGAATTATCCACCCGCTGCAGAATATCCTTGAGATTTACATTCGCGGGATCAGGACTAAAACTCGATTTGGTTCGTCCGATCTTAGATATTTTAGGTCCGGGTTTTCCATTAGTCGCGGCAATAGTTTTTTTCGGCGTTTTACAATTGTCGTCTTTGGCTGCGACATTTATGTCCGAATATATGTAATTAGGTAATCTCTCCTTTTGACGTATCGAAACGGTAATTCTCGGTTGCATTTCTAATAGTTTCGGATATTTCTCTTCATTTTTGTCCATTTTCTCTTCATTTCTAATCACTTTCTCGAGCGTTTCCATCTTGCCGGACATAGCACCTTTCACGCATTGCTTATATTTCTCGTCTATCGTAGTATCGAGACTGTTTTGAGTATTCGCATTGTCGACGAAGATACTCTGTTCGTTACTCTCTTCAGGTCGCATGAGCGACCATCGATCTAAGGATAAATTTGTATCTTCGTTCTGAATCAATGCTTGCGAAACATCGGTAACACCTTCCTCAGCACTCTCCATGGAATCTTTTTCATTTTTCGCGAGATCGTTCTTCGTACTGTCATGAGTCTCGTCCTCATTGTCATCATCCTCGTTGCCAGAATCGTTATCGAGGCTCTTCAAGATGCCCTCATTCTTTTCGTTGCGCTTCCTAAGCTCCTCCCAATTCTTTCGCGGCTTGTAACTCGTTTTTCGCCTGACGATCTTGCTCTCGGTGATATTGATGTCCGGGATAAAGAGACGCAATGCCTTCGTGCCGGTTGGAAACGTCATCTCGTTGATCCGCCTCTCAGACATGATTGCCCTCAAACTTGTCTTCGTGGCGACCTCCTGATGCTTGTTGAAGGCAGAGACTAATTGCGCTACCGTATACTTTGGCTCCTCGTTCTCTGATTCCGTGGAACGGTCTTCCTTGTCAGACGCCGCCGAGTTGTTGGAACGACTCGACACGTCAGAATGTTGACGTTCGCAAGGACGTTTGTCCGCATTGACGGGCATCACGTTGCGGCACAACGGCATCTCGTCTGAATCCTCTGTCAGAGTATCCGACTCGACGGACTTGAGAGAATCTAGATTCTCCTCGGATTCCGAGGTAAATTTCTTCGAAGTTTGCGGTTCTACAGTTTTCGTTGATCGCGAATCATTATTCGACTTGACGCAATTCCGATCATCGCTGCTGAAATTTGATGTCTTCACTTCTGTCGACGAAACGATTGACATATTTTGATCAATCTTTCGCTCAATCTTATCGGACATTAAATCAATATCCGATTTTACATCGACGATCGAATGATCGTCACTGATCGAGGAAGCGAATCTAGAAAACGCAATCTCAGCGCCGAGTTGCTTGAAAATCGGCAACATGTCCTCGGTTCTCGCATAATGGTAGCTCTTCCTTCGCCGTTTCAGACATTCCAGACTTCTATAAATATCCAAGACACCCTGAGACTTCGACAGGGATCTTAAGCCGTACAGTTTCTCGCGGGACTTACTAATTACGAGGTTCATCGTAGCGACGGCACCGGCTCGTTCGCAGTTGATCGCTGAAGATCCATTCAGTAGACATGCCTGAGACTGAACGCGATTCAGACTGCGTATCTTTGACAATATACCGCGACTTAGGCCGTGATTTAGATTAGCCTGGGATCGGCTCTGAGCTTTATTCAACAGTCCTTGAGTTTGTTCTTGGTGCAGCAGACAGCTCTGGCTTGCGCAGCTCAAGCTGGTTCTGGAGGAATTCAGACTGGCCTGAGAATCCGCCGGGCTGGCGAATCCCTCGCTACCTACCAAACTTGAGTGACTTCCAGTTAGACGATGGCTCAGACACATTTCGCTTTGACTGAGCGTGCAGTCTTGTAAGCCCTGTTGACGATGCTGCTGATAATTCTGATCGCTTTGAACATCCCCCTGACAGAGACTCGCCTGGCTGGTCGTCTGGCTTATCAGCGCGGCCCTTCTTAGGTTCTCGCGACTGACCACGCGCTCTAAAAGAACCTCCCTCGACTTTGACAGATACCTTCGTAGATGCGGTGACGCCTGTGTCGGGGCACCACGCAACCAGTCATGGCGCAGGCATTGCTTCGCGGTCATCCGTGCACTTAGAAAATAAAAAAATTAACTTAGTCATCATCAATCATAAAGATAATAATTTAATAAATTGAAACATAATAAAATAGAACTATTGTATAATTATGTAACTTATAAACAGTAAGTAAAGCTATGTTGGTTACTAGACTATATAGGCTATATTGAGTACAATTATTCTGCAACGATGTAAACTATTCCAATGTTTCGAAACATTTCAAACTTTCAAGATTCTTCAGAATTCATAATTTTTAATTATATCTGAGAATTACGAGTCGAATTTTTACGACGAAATGGTTTGAAAGAAGAATTCAAACGTCGATTATAATAATTGATACCTTGGGTCTAGCACCAAAAGCTTCGCGACAAAGTCCTTCGCCTGCACCGAAATATCCTCGAACAGCTCTTCAGGGAAATCCACTTCTCCTAAAGATATATTTTGGAAAGTCTCTTGATCGGTCTCTCCGCCGAAGGGCGAGAAACCCGTCAACAATACGTAGGTTGTGACACCGAGCGACCTGGAAAAGGGGATATTTTCGAAGAAAACCTGATCTACATCTACACAAAAAGGATAACGAAACACACCGCATTTGGTCTTACCACATATCGGCTGCCAATGTGATTGGCTCATAATGCAGTATCTCAGGCGCTGGAAGAGAAATGTAAACATGATTGAATATATGGAAATGTACGCAATAATAGTAGTATTCACCGAGTTCACGTGCCGAGGTCTCTCTCCTCCGCACGTTCACGCTTATTTCGTGTCCAATGACCTCATACGTGACGTCACGTGGATTCGCAAGCAATCATTTTTATTTACGTATGAAAATCGTGGGCTGATGAGTGTAGATGAGAAGAATCGGGACAAACCGCATTTGGGATGATGCTGTGATTTTACGCATCGGAATTTTTCGTTTCAGAGTTTTGGCGTTTGTCGCCTAATTGCGAATTCAGTTAGATGCACTAATGTGCATATTGAAGTCATTCTACACTGCAGCACTGATCCAATCTGAATATATAGATAAGAAAAGTGAAATATGTCTCATGATAAATTGCCTAATACATATTTTATTAAATATATCCAGAAAAAAGATTCATTTCGTAAGTCGGGAAAAAGAATTTTTTGTTACATTCTCTGTGCTATCTGAGGAACTTTCAAAACAAAAAACAATTATGTTCTATTTCCTGTAACTAAGGAAAAAAAATGTTTACATATAGTATTTCATCTAATTTCTTTATGTAAATAGAACATATATA